CGTTGCCCAACCCCTCTAACCATTGAACTCCGAGAACGACATCAGGCCCAACCAAGGGTAAGGCATATAGGTCGGCCTTGACAGTCACCCCTTGGAATTTGATCTGCACCTCTCGAAATGCCTCTGAGGATCTCAAACGTTCACCATTGGCTACACGAATGTTGAATGGCTCGATCTTCTTGGTCGACAATTCAATTTTTATGAGAGCGTGGCGGTGATGAAGTTGTGCAACGATCCATTGTCCACGAGCACGACTACACGGCGATCCTTGACCCATGCCGGCAGTCGCATCATCCTAGGTCCACGCATGTCGGGCATTGCGTGCATCGAGATCTCAGCCTCCTCCTCGAGCACCTTGACCTCGACTTCATTCTCCATTGGTTCCTCGATCCCTGGCTCTTCCTTGTTCGAGTCAATGATGTCGATCACGAAAGCCTGTTTGCATTGGTCGGCGTGAATTTTTCTTCGCAGTTAAGCATATTGCTTTCTCTCGTCGCCTCCTCATCTCTTCAAATGATAATCGTTTAACCTCCGGGGTTGGTGATCTTGGTTTTCGAGTACTAGGGTTAAAGTTACTGGGGCACGGTGGGACTCGGCGTGGCTATGAGAATCGAACGTCCGCCCGTCCCCTTCGAGTGGCAGCGAGTTGATCGTCTCGACGTCGGGCTACGTCCATGGCCATGTGCATTGATTTCGACTGTTCCAATCTAACCTCTGCGGCAAGTCAAACTATAGCCCCTCTATGAACGCCCCAACCAGCGCACTCTTTGGCCATCCTCGTACGTGACACGCTAGGCGTTCAAATTCTTTATGATAATCGCGTTGGCTACCCGCTGTAGTATGCGTGCGAGGGCCTCGTCATAGTTATGGTAGTCGAACGACCCAAAATGCTTGAGAAGCTCGCGTTCGAAGTCCTCCCACCGAATCGCTTGCTGCTGCTACGATAGACGCTTGTGAGCCATTGACACCATACGCTGGCCTCACCATCCAAGTAATATGCCGCATATCGAACCCAATCGCGTGTCGAGGTTTCATTCAGTTCAAAGTATTGCATGGCTCGGTTGAGCCATGCGTCGGGGTCAGATCTGGTGAACGTAGATAATGTTAGCCTCGGTTTATCGAGCCGCGGCCTATCCTGGTTGTTCGAGGCTTTCGATCTCTATTCGTACTCCTCCTCTTGCTCATACTCAACATGGTGTTGATCGTGGTCCCTGGGTGGTTCGCGTCCGTACGGTTGTGGTGGCGGTTGCTGCCGCGCCTGTTGATGCATGTTGCGCACCATCTCATCGAACCTCCAGTTCATGCTGTCCATCAAGTCCCTTACTGATGCCTTGGTGGTGTCGAGCCCTTTGCCTAGGTTGTCCATAGCCTCGCTCATGCTTTGAACTTGCACGTCCAAATTCTCTAGTTTCCTTCATCGTCTTGGCCATGACTTTCCTTTCTTGTCTTCTCTCTTTACTTCTAGGACTCGTCTTGAAGATTTTTTTTTTTTTTGAAAATGTAAATCAAAAGAACGTGAAAGAAAAAGACACACAATCTATCAACTCTCAATGATAGCACCAGTGATAAAGACCGTGTGTCCCGGTTCCCGACAAGCCACGCGCGTGCCTTAAGCCGATGGTAGTGCTTCGAAGGTTCACTAACGCGGCCCTTCGAAACGAGATAAAATTGAAAAATAAATCAAAAAATTCTAAGGCAAAGTTTGAAAAAAAGTTCGGTTTGTATTCAAGAAATTCGATAATGAAATAACAACGGAATGCTTTTATTTATAGGCTCAAATAAATATACTCCTAATCGACCTAGGATATCAATTAAAGCAATAAAATATTGAAAGTCCTAATCAATCTAGAAATCATAAAGTAACAAGGAAACTATCTAATCCTTCCAGAATTTCTATTCTTGCGCGCCAAGGTCTCGCGCGCCTTCCCTAGTCCTCTAGGACTAAGGCTTCGCTGACCGTTGCGCGCGTGCGTCCTCGTCGCCTTCGTCCTCCGTGCCTCTCATCTTCGCGGTCATATCGCGTACGTTGTTCCCCAGCGTCGCATGTCGTGCACGATCGCCTGCGTTTCAGCCGTGCGTCGGGCTAACCTCCTTCGTGCATGATATGCACAGCTTGATGCGTTCTTGAGCCGACACGCCACATCCTCATCAATCATGCCAAACTCCGCGCCAGATTATTTATTTCGCTAGGGTAGTGCTGCAAATTTCTCTCCAATGCGGCGTCATATATTTGCCCCAGAAGAGATATATCAATAGTGCATCGCTACATCTAGCGACACACTGTAGTTTAGCCCTTGAATTTTTTTATATATATATTAGTCATAATGTTTTGTATAATATGGATTATTTTTAGCACTAGAATATATTTTTTTTTTTTTTTTTTGTTTTTTATATTAGTCATAATGTTGTATACTATGGATTATTAGATGTATTATTATGTTAAGTGATGCCCTGTAGTTTATCACACGAGAAATTTTTATTATTATTTTTTATATATTGTTGATCTTTTTTTGTATAATATGTATTATTAAATGAATTATTATGTCAAAAAATTTGATGATTTTATTTATAGATGAATTTTAATTTTATTTCATATATTTTAATAGTACTATGGGAATAAAAAAAAATATCAGTTAGAGAGTAAAATGTAGAGATAAAGACTGGAATAAATGTTAAACTCTATTCTAGAATAGAGTAAAGTCCGCGGTAAAGTAGATAAGGGCTGGAGATGACTTTATTAGAGTCAGGTTTCTAATTATAGGACCATGGCTCACAAATAACTTTGGTGAGCAAATGAAAACATAAGAAAACAATGGTAAACAAAAAAATAATTAAAAAATGTGTAATGTATGTAACTTTGCGCGAAGAAGAACCACAAATACTTAGGTATGCCCTGGCACACCTTGCTAGGTGTGTCAGGACTTTTTGTGAAATACACCCCTCCCAAAAGCGCGTGAGGTAAGGAGGTAAGGCATTTTTTTTTAAAAAAATGGGACACCGGACATGTGTCTCATTTCTTTTGGATAATGAAATTCATATATCCTATTATATAAATTTAATTATCATTCATATTTTGTATCAAAAAATAAAAATAAAAATACCAAAATTCATAATTTTTCATTCTCTACAAATAGAGACCACATTTGTTATTTTTTGGAACACAATTAATTTATCATTTTTTACAATCAATTAATTTATTGTCTTTTACAATTAATTTATCTTATTGGAAGATTATGACATAAATCTATAATTAGATGAATATGTTACATAGTAAGATGAACATGTTATAGAGTAAGATGAACATGTCATAGAATAAGATGAAAATGTTACATTTTCACAAATGAAATTTAGATGAACATGTTCTAAAATAAGATGAACGTGTTACATACTAAAATGAACATCTTATAGAATAAGATGAACATGTTACATAATAACATGAAAATGTTATAGAATAAGATGAACATGTTACATACACAATAAGGTGAACATGTTACATAATAAAATGAACATGTTATTGAATAAGATGAACATGTTACATAATAAAATGAACATGTTATAGAATAAGATGAACATGTTACATAATAAAATGAACATGTTATAGTAAGATGAATATGTTACATACACAATAAGGTGAACATATTGTAAACTAAGATGAATATGTATTATTTCAATTGCAATCTGTAACATGTTCATCATATTTGAAAACATATTCATTTTATTATGTAACATGTTCATTATATGTCAGTATTATAAAATAATTATGAAAAAACGAAAAATTAGTTGCGTTCAAAAACCTATCAAATGTGGTCTATATTTATAGATAATGAAAAATTATGAATTTTTT